CCCAGCTCTTGTACTGAGGAGGAGAGTTCTGGGTCCAGTGGAGGCAGAAACAGCTGCTTCAGACAGCATTTGGCCAACAGGTGGCAGTTGGCACCCCTCCCCCCAGGATGGCAGCTGGACTGGGAAAGAACAGGCTGCCCAGCCATCCCCTCCCCTAAGGTTAGTTTTCACTGGCTGGGCTGAAAGCTGATGGGGGGGACAGGGTGAACAGGGATGGGCTGAGATTAAGAGCCAGGGCTTCCCAACCCCTATGAAGGTGCCCAGCCAAGAACCACGGGCAAAGGTCAGCTTGGGGCCACCTTACCCCATCCTTTCCCTCCTTCTTATGAGGGTGTGTCTCCTAAAGCAAAGAGGAGGAAAGGCTCACTCCAAGGCACTGTGTTTACACTCCTAACCATTTCTCACCACCTGTCTCTGAGAAGGGGCTGAATATCCCCAGTTTTGCAGATGAAAGCACTGAGGCTACAGCTGAAGCAGCACCTGGGTATGTCTGTCTGATTCCACAGCTTGGATTGGTTGTTATACTGTACAGCACATAGAAGAGAGGCTAGGGCAAGAAAAACCGTCCCGGCGAGCACGCCCGAGACTCTGCTCATAGCACAGCATGCAGCTGAAGCCCGCCGATCCAGCTTGCTGCTCTCCCTCTCCACTCATCCCCACCAGGCTGTTAGCACTCAAGGAACCTATTAGCATGCCTCCTTCCACCAACATAACCTTGCTGACCCTAGCCAGGACCAGTCACACCTGGCATTGCCTAGACAGAGCAAGGGCTCACTCAGCAGGACTGAAGGCCCTCAGGCATGGTATTTCTGGCAGGTGTAAGTCAGTTATGTGGAAGGCAGGCAGGAATCAGGCAAAAGCAGAAGCCACATGGCAGCCCTCCGTAATGATACTTTGCAGGACCTGGGTAGTTCATGCCCCAAATCCCCAAAGGATTTCTAGCACCCACCTCCTCTCCCTGACCCCACTACTACCAAGCAAAGGATACATGCCCAGGCACTGATGAGGTATGCCCATGCCCACAGGGCAAGCAGCCTTCCTGGACCAACCAGGCAGGAATGGGGAAAGGGGGGTGGGCCATGGGGAAGGGGGGGTCTGCTTGGCTGCTTCAGGAATGTGCTGACTTCATGGTTTTGGAGACAGGGAGGGGACTGGGGCAAGTCCCCAGGCTTGGAGCAGATTAGCCTGGGCAGTTTGGGGCCCAGCCAGGACAAAGGTTCTGTCAGTGCTAAGGGCACCCTTGCCTGGACAGTATCGTGTGGTCGTGAGGGGCAGAGCCTGTTCAACCACCTCTTCCCTCCTCCCTCCAGGGGCCTCAGCAGCAAAATTCAGGCACTAGTGACTAGGGGAAAGGGGGAGGCAGGGGCAGAGAAACTGCTCCAGGCTGTGCAGTGGAGGCCCAGGCCCAGGGGAGAAGACAGGATAGGGGGAGGGGGTTGTGGGAGAGGAAGAGGGGATTTCCGGGAGGAGGAGGGGCAGAAGCAGCAGAGAGGGGCAGAGGAGGTGGAGTGAAAGGGGCCTGGCAGCCCCCTCCTGGATCCTTCCCTGAGGTAGTGGGGGTGGGTCAGCTGAGTTGGGGGGGTTGCTCAGCTGGCCTCATCTGGAAACCAGAGGGCTGGGGAAGGGCACTAGAGAAGACAATGGGACTGTGTGTCTGTAGGGGAGGATGTGTGTACACTTCAGGGAGGAGGGAGGAGGGTGAGGGAAAAGGAGGAGGGGGCAACACAGCAGCTTGTGCAGGAGCATATGTGAGGGCAGGAGCCTGCCCAGGCTGTGGGGAACACAAAACAAAGAGCCTGCTGAGATTTCCGCCAGGCTAGGGGCTGCAGAGGACAGCCCGAGGGAGGGAGGGAAGAGGGAGAGTGCACTAAAGGAAGGAGCCCACACCCCTCAGCAAACAGCCTCCAGACACATGGCAGTGACTGACCCAGCCTCCCCTGTGATCTTGGCACACGACCAACCCACACCTGGCCTGAGCAGTTCCCAGCATGAGCAGGAGATTCAACACCACAGGGCGCCCAGAACTCAATGGATGCCTAGAGCCAAGGGGTGACCTGGGTCCTCAGAGAACAGGGGACTTTCAGTAACACACAGGGTGGGCCCCTCTCCCTAAAATCTACAGACTAAAAATGGTACTCAAGAGTCCCAGGGGTAGGAGGGACACCCAGGTTCCTGCTTCAGGGGAGATCTGAGGGTCACTGTCCTCCCTCTATTGTGTGACCACAAGCAGCCCGGACTTAAATCCCAGTTAAGCCTTTAAGAAACTGTGTGGCCATGGGCAAGTCGCAGCCTTTCTTTCAACCTCGCGTTTCATCATCTGTGAAATGGGAGAACAATAGCTGCCTTTCTTGTAATGTTCGAAGAATCAAGAGGTTGGGGAGATGGGTGAAAGCTCGGGAAGTTTAAGGTGCGGCGCAGGAGGGAGGGTTCTGTCCTCTTCCCAGAAGGATTCAAAGTTCAAGGGTGAGGCCGCAGTGGCTCCCAGGTGAGGGGGAAGGGCCGGCCGCGGGTCAGGAAGAGCGTCCTTCCCCACCTCCGCTCCGCGGGAAGGTACTGAATTCCTCCGAATGGGCGCGGGAGCCGATGGCACCCGCAACCCTACGGATTAGTGCGCGGGGTTCTCCCTCCCGGCCTGACGTCATCGCCGCCCCGTGATGTCACGGTGGGCGCCCCTGAGGTCACCGCGCCAAGGTGCAGACAAAGGCCTGGCGTGACTCCGACCTGGGCCCCTCCCCATGCGGTGTGCTCCCCCTCCCGCGCCCGCACCGGCATCCCCGCCGTCCCCGGCCCGAACCTGAGGAACTCCTGCAGGCAGGTGTCGCAGAAGCGGTGGCCGCAGGTAGAAACCTGCACGGGCTCGCGCATGGGCTTCCCGCAC